GTGACAACCGGCCTAATAACACCAGGAGTAAGGTGCGCGGTGCGTGCCAACAGAGTTTGCAACGCCTGAGCGAACTGATCCAACAGGATATCCTGTTGATCCAGTCTGGTGACCAACATTGGAAGTGAAGGCGTACCTGCACCGTCAGGATTCATGGTACTTGTGTAATGTCAGGGCAGGGCTGTGGAACGGACAGGTAGGCCTAGTGGCAGGGTAACGCACTGGCTGACGACAACCACCACCAACAGACCGAAGTCCCTCAGGGCGCGGAGTCTAAGTCCCAGGCTGCCCTTCACCAGGGCCCCTGATGGTGGGGATGGACTTGACGCAGCCAGGAACCAGGTCGCGGCCCCCGAGACACCCCGGCTGCGGTAATGGCCGCCGCCAATGGCGTGTAGCTGGTGAGAATGACAATAGCGTAGTCAGGCAAGCTGGGTCAACAACAACGGGACAAAACAGTACAGAACAGTAGACAGAGAATCACAGGTCACGGGCCGGGTTCAGCAACGGAAGGTCAGATCGAAGGAAAACACAGAGAATGGTCTAGTCACAAGCCGAGTCAAATACCAGAAGAGTCACGAGCATATACACAGAGCTGTAGCAAGACAAAGACACAAGACACAAGTGCAAAGAGCATGTGCGGATCACAGGCTTATATGTACTCAGTCACCCCTCTGGGGGATGGACCTCAGAGACCTGAAGGCATAAAAGCTTCCCACCATGCTCAGCATAAATGCAAGATGGATGCCAGCACATGGAGTAACATAACCTCTGGGAAAAGGTAGGACCTTGACATAGACGTGAAGCTCAAAAAATGCTAATAATCTAAAGCAGTGTGTATGGATACATAGGATAACACTATTTAGCTTCTAGTTCTAGGAGCAGAAAAACACTAATAACAGCTTCTAGGAGCTTAAAAAAGCGTTAGTGTGCATGGAGCCTAAAACTGGTGAAAGTATCAAAGGTGTCTATCATATAGAGCAGGTTTAGAAGTGTGGCAAGTGAATCACTAAATGTAATATATGTAATCTGCATATAAAGACAAATTTATTTCCAAAATCTCTCGCCTAAGGCTTTCCATGTGAAAAGAAGTACATATCAGCTCTGCTAGCAATTCTAAAGCTAGGACAAAAAGAAGGGGCAAAATGGGAACCCCTGGCTATTTCCCATTTTTATACTAAAACTCTTTGTGACCTGTGAACTGATTTGAAATCCTACTGTAGGAGCAGTAAACAGAAGTTTAAATGAGTTGATGAAGCGAGGACCAAATCCAAACCTTTGAAGTATTATCCACAGAGCCATTTGACAGAGTTTAAGGCCTTATGTATTCAAAGACACTGCCAATCTACTACCTGCAATTTAATGTGGAAATTGTGGATCTGTAAAAAGACTCTGTTTGTTAATATTTGTACTGTACCTGTACTTGTACCTATTTATCTAGAGCCATTTCTCCTGTAGAGAATTCTAAAACACACAGATCAAAGGATTTTTATCAGCAACAGAAAGCAGGGGGCAGTGATCTGACGCCACACACACTGAAGAGCTAGAGCACAGAGTTCCCTGTAATCTGAAAGCTGAGTGGATGGAAGGGTCACACGCTGCTGTACACAGGCTCATAGAAAAACAAAAAGAGCTGTGGCTTTGAGTCACCTCCTGAGTGCTGTTGGGGGGGGGGGGGTGTCTCCTGAAAGGCTGTTGTGTCTGCTTAGACTTCTATCATTGATTCATGCTGATAGCAGAGAGGAGAGACCAGAGAGGAATAAGACTTGGATTGAGACTAGTACACACTCAAAAGGGATGTACTTTGTTTATTTTTCACGTCTGAGGTTTACAACCATAATGTGTGATACAGCCATTTATTCGAGGAACCAAAATCTTGCCAAAATGTTTACTTCCATGGCCTGACATAGTTTCCATAGGGGAGAAGGTATGTTCAATGTAGGAGCATAGTTCTGCAGTTCAGTGTCCATTTTCTTTCAGTAAAGAAGCTGTGTAAGGTCCTTCCTAATTGTAGTGATTGTAGGTGCAGAAGAAGATGTTCTCACCTTCAAAATGTTCTTGCGAGCTGCTAAAAGGCACAGATGCAGCCACTGGGGAATAGAGCCAGCATGTTCCCCCAGAGTCTGTGTGTCCAGGATCATTGTAGCTAAATAGTAATGAGTGGTGTCTTGGGAAGGAGTCACCCAGTGATGCTGTAAATGAAAGTAATGACTTGGTCCCAAAAGGTTGAGGTTGGGGAGCACAGCCAAAAACAATGAAACAGTGAAGGCTGGGGAGTCCCACATTGAGGACATGTCGCTGGGTGAGTACCGGTGTTCGAAGAGAGAAACGGGATAAACACCCTATGTATTAATTTGTACTGAGTCTCTCTCCATAGTTCTTTTGTTATACGCTTGCGAACTTTCAGATATCCCTTCAGAATCTTCTCTCCCAAATTGTCTTCCGGAAGATCTTTACCCCATTTCACAAAGAGTGTATTGGGCTTGGTGGCAGAAACTACTGATTGCAATGATTTAAAAGCTTCAGAGATAGAATGTGAATGTTTTTGTTAATAAGTGATCAATCGGAGAAAGGCAGAACCTCTTCAAAGTATCTGGACAGCAGGACTTAGTGTGGGAGAGCGTCTGATGGCAGTATAAAAGATGTGGAGGAAGATGGAACTCTGTGCTTAACTCGGAAAAGGATTTTAGTTTCAATGTATCTTGATGGAACAAGGAGAATGCTTTCACCAAGCCTTTTGTGCGCTTTGTATTCCATGCCCTGTGCAAACATTGGATTGCCATGAATATCCAGATGATGAAAATGTTTGGGGAAATATTTAGCTTCTTCCTGGTTCCCTTCCAGGCTATAAACAAAATCTCGGATCAATATATTCTGTTGCATGGCTTTCTGAAGGGATTGTAATTTGCTTTTAATTTGATTGTAGTTTGCTGTGTAGAATACCAGACAGGTGGAATGAAATCACTAGGTTAGACTCCAGAATGAAGTTAGCATATGTTGAGGAATGTGAAATCCAATCCAAACCATATGTCACTAAACAAGCCAGATTATACAGCCTAATATTCAGTAGATTACCACCATCTCTCTCTTAAGAAGACTTAGTTTGGATAATGCAATACATGGCCTTTTCTTAGACCAGAGGAATGCAGTGATAGCTGAATGAAGCCTATGCACATCTAGATGTTTAAAGAGGAGAGGAACGGTTTGTAAAGGGTATAGAAGGCAAGGAAAACTCACCATTTTATCAAGGTGGCATCTTCCGAAGAGCAATAAGGGGAGAGTCAGACTTTAGTTCTGATAAAATTTTTGTAAGCAGTGGTGAAAAGTTGAGATGGTAAAGAGAGGATGGGTCCTTCCCTATTTTGATACCCAAATAAAGTATGTGACAGTGAGCCAGGGGGAAAGGGGACGATGCATCCCATTTTGATGCAATAGAATTTGTGAGGGGTAGAACTTTGCTTTTTTCATAGTTGACATGTAAACTGGAACAGAGACGGTGTTAGGAATGGACTTGCCAGTAGTGGTGGGACTCACCTGCCTTGTGGGCTGCAGTACCAGGGCTGGCCAGCGGGTGCTCCCAGCAATCAGAGACTCAACCCTGCAGTCAGCCAAACACTTGAAACTGCTTATGCAGGTGTATTTAAGTGATGGCCAGACCTGCAGTCTCGGCCTTGGTGTGTGTGTTTTTCCTGGGCCCTGTATCTTGTAATCCTGCATTCTTGTTCCTGTGTTCCTGCTAGTACGTTTCCTTGTTGCCAAACTCTGCCTGTTCTGATTACGCTGACCCTCTCCTGCTCTGACCCCGGCTCGTTCCTGACCATCCCTCTGCCTGACCCTCTGTACCACGCTGCCCGCTACCTGCTGAACCTGGCTTGTGACCCCGACCATTCTCCGCTTGCTCCCCCTGTACCTACCTGCCCGATTGTTATTGACCCGGCCTGTCTGACGACGCTTGCATTGTATGTACTGTTATCTGTGGGTGGTTGGTTTGGTTCGTTTTGCACTGTGTTATGTTTTAAATATTGCACTGCGTTTATGTTTGTATTGTTAGTCTTTAATAAATTATATTGTTTATAACATATCTGAAGTCTGCGTTTTCCCTGCGTCAGTCACATACCTCTGGTCATACCCGGGAGCCCTGACATTACACCAAGGCCAATCCTGACCAGAAGTGGCTGCACAGGGAAGCCATCTTGGCTTGTTGCTGGGAAGGATGGATCTGGATGAGGTTGTGTATTTATCTCTGCTAGTGTTTGATGACAGAGAATATGCTTATCAGACTCTTGAAGGAGTATCCCAGGGATGAACTGCTAGAATGTATACGGCTCGCTCATGTTCTAGTAGATCAGGGCACAGAATTCTCTGAGGTGCAGCCATTGATTCAGGTTTGTGCGGAGTTGGTTTCATCTGGTACCCTCGAATGCAGGGATGAATTTTTGCCACCATTTAGTGCCGACCAGGTAGAGTCCCTGGTATGGTTATTAGAGGATGATGTGGATTACTTTCTGGAGCGTTATTCTGCATGTTCACCACAGATACTAAGAGATTGTATAAACGCAGTGCAGTCATTGACCAGACAGGCTTTGTGTAAACTGAGCTTTGTTCAACCCATACTGCAGACATGGTCAGATTTGTTGCACCCAGCCTCAGTCAGCTTGCAAAAACCCAGTCCTGCTTCTAATCTATTTCCTCAAAGCTCTATTCCTGCATTCTCAACAGCTCCTCCTGCCCTGCTATCTACCGCATGTCAGTACCTTGTTCCCACTCGCTGCACCTATCCTGCCTTTAACCCTGTAAAGAAGTCCTCTGTAGCAACTGTTCACTCCCCTGTTCCATCCTCCAGCTCTTCTCTGTCTCCAGCTGCTCCATTCGTTTGCAGACCTGCGTTTACGTGCAGTGGTCTCCAGTAGTTAAAACCAGAAAAAAGCGAAAATTCTTTCCAACCAGTACCATCCTGCCAGTATCCAAATCGGTCAGCCTGCCGTCTGAGAACCGGCCTTCCGTGGTTCAGCCTGGTGCCTCGGCACCCGCACTTCAACCTGATTGTCTGTACCCAGCCTGATGTCTGTACCCAGCCTGATGTCTGTACCCAGCCTGATGCCTCTACCCGGCCTGACGCCTCCATTCAGCCTGACGCCTCTACCCGGCCTGACGCCTCTACCCGGCCTGACGCCTCTACCCGGCCTGACGCCTCTATTCAGCCTGACGCCTCCTTACCCCAGGCCTGACGCCTCTATTCAGCCTGCTGCCTCTAATTCAGCCTGCTGCCTCTATTCAGCCTGCTGCCTCCATTCAGCCTGGTGCCTCCATTCAGCCTGGTGCCTCTACCCAGCATGATGTTTCTACCCAGCCTGATGAACTGATCCAGCCTGATGATCCTATTAGGCCAGTTGACTCGATGCCCGCTGTTGATCCAGACGATCCGGTACTTGATGACCCGGTGCCCGCTGTCATACCTGGTGACCCGATGCCCGCTGTCGAGCCAGACGATCCAATGCCTGATGACCCAGTGCCCGCTGTCATGCCTGGTGACCCGATGCCCGCTGTCGAGCCAGACGATCCAGCGCCAGATGACCCGGTGCCTGCTGTCGAGCCAGACGATTCGGTACCTGATGACCCGGTGCCCGTTGTCGTGCCAATTGACTCAGAGCCCGCTGTCGTGCCTGGTGACTCAGTGCCCACTGCCTTGCCAGGTGACGCGGTGCCCGCTGGCGAGCCAAATGAACCTGATGCCTGGTGACCCAGTGCCCGCTGTCATACCTGGTGACCCGATGCCCGCTGTCGAGCCAGACAATCCAATGCCTGGTGATCCGATGCCCGCTGTCGAGCCAGACGAGCCAGCGCCAGATGACCCCGTGCCTGCTGTCGAGCCAGACGATCCGGTACCTGATGACCCGGTGCCCGCTGTTGTGCCAATTGACTCAGAGCCCACTGTCGTGCCTGGTGACTTGGTGCCCACTGCCTTGCCAGATGACGCGGTGCCCGCTGTCGAGCCAAATGACCTGATGCCTGGTGACCCGATGCCCACTGTCCAGCCAGACGATCCAATGTCTGACCCAGTGCCCGTGGTCATGCCAGTTGACTCGGAGCCCACTGTCGTGCCTGGTGACTCGGTGCCTGTCCTACTCCGCCTGGGGGTCCGGCGCCCGCCGCTCCGCCTGGGGGCCCAAGACCTGTCACTCCGCCTGGGGGTCCGGCCCCCGCCGCTCCGCCTGGGGGCCCGAGACCTGTCGCCCTGCCTGGGGGTCCGGCGCCCGCCGCTCCGCCTGGGGGCCCGAGACCTGTCGCTCCGCCTGGGGGTCTGGCGCTCGCTGCTCCGCCTGGGGGCCCGAGACCTGTCGCTCCGCCTGGGGGTCCGGCGCCCGCCGCTCCGCCCTGGGGTCCGGCGCCCGCCGCTCCGCCTGGGGGCCTGATGCCTGTTTCGCCCCCCCCTAGGGGCCGATGCCGGTCGCCCTGCCTAGGGGCCCGATGCCGGTCGCCCCGCCTGGGGGCCCGATGCCTGACTGCTCCGCCTGGAGGCCCGCCTAAGTGCCTGCTGCACCACCTGGTGGCCCAGTGCCTGCTGCACCACCTGGTGGCCCCTGTGCCTGCTGCTCCACCTGGTGGCCCCAGTGCCTGCTGCTCCGCCTGGTAGCCCGGTGCCTGCTGGCTCCGCCTGGTGGCCCGGTGCCTGCTGCTCCGCATGGTGGCCCAGTGCCTGCTGCTTCGCCTGGTGATCCGATGTGCCTCTGCCCGGAGTCCAGCCCGATGTGCCTCTGCCCGGAGTCCAGCCCGATGTGCCTCTGCCCGGAGTCCAGCCGATGTGCCTCTGCCCGGAGTCCAGCCCGATGTGCCTCTGCCCGGAGTCCAGCCCGATGTGCCTCTGCCCCGGAGTCCAGCCCGATGTGCCTCTGCCCGGAGTCCAGCCCGATGTGCCTCTGCCCGGAGTCCAGCCCGATGTGCCTCTGCCCGAGTCCAGCCCGAATGTGCCTCTGCCGGAGTCCAGCCCGATGTGCCTCTGCCCGGAGTCCAGCCCGATGTTGCCTCTGCCCGGAGTCAGCCCGATGTGCCTCTGCCCGGAGTCCAGGCCCGATGTGCCTCTGCCCGGAGTCCAGCCCGATGTGCCTCTGCCCGGAGTCCAGCCCGATGTGCCTCTGCCCGGAGTCCAGCCCGATGTGCCTCTGCCCGGAGTCCAGCCCGATGTGCCTCTGCCCGGAGTCCAGCCCGATGTGCCTCTGCCCGGAGTCCAGCCCGATGTGCCTCTGCCCGGAGAGTCCAGCCCGATGTGCCTCTGCCCGGAGTCCAGCCCGATGTGCCTCTGCCCGGAGTCCAGCCCGATGTGCCTCTGCCCGGAGTCCAGCCCGATGTGCCTCTGCCCGGAGTCCAGCCCGATGTGCCTCTGCCCGGAGTCCAGCCCGATGTGCCTCTGCCGGAGTCCAGCCCGATGTGCCTCTGCCCGGAGTCCAGCCCGATGTGCCCCTGCCCGGAGTCCAGCCCGATGTGCCCCTGCCCGGAGTCCAGCCCGATGTGCCCCTGCCCGGAGTCCAGCCCGATGTGCCCCTGCCCGGAGTCCAGCCCGATGTGCCCCTGCCCGGAGTCCAGCCCGATGTGCCCCTGCCCGGAGTCCAGCCCGATGTGCCCCTGCCCGGAGTCCAGCCCGATGTGCCCCTGCCCGGAGTCCAGCCCGATGTGCCCCTGCCCGGAGTCCAGCCCGATGTGCCCCTGCCCGGAGGTCCACAGCCCGATGTGCCCCTGCCCGGAGAGTCCAGCCCCAGATTGTGCCCTGCCCGGAGTCCAGTACCCGATGTGCCGCTGCCCGGAGTCCAGCCCGATGTGCCGCTGCCCGGAGTCCAGCCCGATGTGCGCTGCCCGGTGTGCCATTGCCCGGAGTCCTGCCCGTTGTGCCAGTCTTTGATATCCCGCCAGTTACCAGACCCGGGCGGTGGAACATTTTGCCCAGCTAGGACTGTTTGGAGCGTCCTGAGGGCCGCTCCTTGAGGGGGGGTACTGTTAGGAATGGACTTGCCAGTAGTGGTGGGACTCACCTGCCTTGTGGGCTGCTAGTACCAGGGTGGCCAGCGGGTGCTCCCAGCAATCAGAGACTAAACCCTGCAGTCAGCCAAACACCTGAAAACTGCTTATGCAGGTGTATTTAAGTGATGGCCAGACCTGCAGTCTCGGCCTTGGTGGTGTGTGTTTTTCCTGGGCCCTGTATCTTGTAATCCTGCATTCTTGTTCCTGTTCCTGTGTTCGTGCTAGTACGTTTCCTTGTTGCCAAACTCTTCCTGTTCTGTTCTGATTACTGCTCTGACCCTGACCCCTCCATCCTGCTCTCTGACCACGCTGCCCGCTCCTCCTGTGACCCCGACCATCCGCCTCTGTTCCTCCTGACCCATGGCCGTGTTACCCGGCCTGCCTGACGACCTGCATTGTAACCTGCTTTCTAGTTCCCTGTTACCTGTGTTCGTGCTAGTACGTTTCTTGTTGCCAAACTCTCTGTTCTGATTACGCTGTACCCTGCTCCCTGGCTCGTTCCTGGACCTACCTCTGCCTGACCGATCTGTTCATTGACCCTACCTGCTGAACCTGGCTTGACGAACCGCCATTGCATCCGCTTGCTCCTCCTGTACCTGCCCGATTGTTATCTGACCCGTGACGACGTGTATGTATGGTTTGGTTCGTTTGCACTGTGTGTTATGTTTTAATATTGCACTGCGTTTATGTTTGTATTGTTAGTCTTTAATAAATTATATTGTTTATAACATATCTGAAGTCTGCGTTTCCCTGCGTCAGTCACATACCTCTGGTCATACCCGGGAGCCCTGACAGACGGAATCTATCTAGGATACTTCGTAGAGCCTCTAAGTCAGAAAAAAGGGGTCTGACATAAAAGTTAGCATATCATCAGCAAATATCTCTATGCGTAATTTCACTTGATCCTATATGTATGCCATGAACAGGGGGCTGAAGATACTGTAAGAGGTATCTCGAAAGGGCTCCAAAGCTAAATTAAACAGGAGGGGAGAAAGGGGGGCATTATGTAGGGGAATGGTACCTGAAATGCATCCTGAGGCTATAATCCGTGCCGTCAGGTTAGAGTACATATTCCGCAGAAAATCTACAATGTGTCTTGTTAAAGACAAAATTTAAACATTACCAGGAAGAGCCAGTTGAGATTGATATTGTCAAAGGCCTTTTCTGCATCAAGTGTGATGATGTTTTGTATAAACATTTTCATTATCTGGATATTCATGGCAATCCAATGTTTGCACAAGGCATGGAATACAAAGCGCACAAAAGGCTTGGTGAAAGCATTCTCCTTGTTCCATCAAGATACATTGAAACTAAAATCCTTTTCCGAGTTAAGCACAGAGTTCCATCTTCCTCCTACACACATCTTCTATACTGCCATCAGACACTCTCCCACATTAAGTCCTGCTGTCCACATCACCTGCTGGGGCAGGTATCTTCTTTGTAGAAACGAGAGACCTTACTCTTTGCCCCTGTGGACTTTAGAGAATTAAATCAGAGTTCCACGCAAAAGTGGAAGCTTCTCTTATTTTTATCCTCCTGCCCCCCCCCCCCCTCCACTGCCTTATTTGGCACTTTTTGTTTTTGACAGGTACCCACTCCCACCTCCAGCTCATGTTCTACTGCAGCAAAGTGACCCAGAAGTGAGCCCCCCTCCTTCCTCCCACATTCTCCTAGGAACCTTCAGAGGTCCCAGAAGACTAGCCTGGACCATACCAATGAGAATGTTACAGCGCAACTCGGGCATTTGCAGTGGGCACCTGGCTGTGAAGCCGCAAGCTGTCACAGGCCTGGTGCCCACAGTTGTGATGCCAGCGCCGGGGAGAGAAGAGGCAGAGAAGGGATGGTGTGAGTGAGCACATCGCTGGACTCTGAGACAGGCGAGTGGTGTGTTATTAAATGTCAGCATCTACAGTTTTTGTAGCTGCTGACTTTTAATAAACACAGAACCGACTGCAACTCCGCTTTAAATAAAATTACGGTGAAAAACAGGTATCCCCTTCCTCTGGTCCCTGAACTTTTTCAGAGGTTTGGGAAGCCAAAGCATTTACCAAACTTGATCTGCATGGGGCCTACAATCTTGTACATATATAAGAGAGGGAGATGAATGGAAAACAGCATTCAGAACATAGTTTGGGCATTTTGAATACCTTGTTATGCCATTTGGTCTATGCAATGCACCAACAACATTTTGAAACACTTTGTGAATGACATAGTTCGAGACTTTCTGGATCTTTTTATGATTGCCTATCTGGATGACATCCTGATCTTTTCCTTTCTCTAAAACTGCAGTTAATTCATATTGTCAATGTGCTGGGCTGGCTAAGAGAATATAGACTTTATGCCAAAGCGCAGAGAAATGCGAATTTGAAGTACAGGAAATCTTCTTCCTTGGCTTCATCATTTCAACAGAGGGGATTTCTATGGATCCTCATGTTAATGAACTTTTGAATGGGTCTGTTCCAGCAGATAAGAAGAGGGTGCAAATATTTGTGGGTTTTGCTATTTTCTATAGGAAATTCATTAAGGGATTTTCTTCTATTCTCTGTCCCATCACATTACTCACAAAGTCACATACCCGATTTCAATGGATTGTTGAAGCACAAAAGTCTTTTGATAGGCTGAAGCTCCTTTTCACCTCTGCCTCAATCTTGCAACACCCAGATCCAGCATTACCATATATCCTGGAGGTTGATGCTTTGGAGAATGCAGTAGGAGCCATCTTGTCACAGAGATCAGGAAACAAAATCATTAGTGCTTCTTGTAGCCTTTTTCCTCAAGGAAATTTAAACCCAGCTGAAAGAAACTGTGATGTTGGAGATCGCGAGCTTCTGGCCATTAAATCGGCTCTGGTAGAATGGCGGTATTTGTTGGAAGGTGCAACTCTTCCTATTTTGATCTTTACAGATCATAAGTAGAGATGAGCGAATTATTCAAAAATTCGGTTCGGCTGATTCGCCGAATTCGCCGAATAAATTTGCTTCGAGCCGAATATATTCGCTGCGAATTTAACTTATAAAAAGGGGTGTTTCTAGGCTTCAGAGAGCCTTTATATTAGTGCAGAACACTGTACCTTTAATTTAAATGCCCTTGGAGTCTGCTGGGGAAGAGAAATAATACTGTCAGTCAGTATGACATGCAGATGAGTGCCGTCGATCTTAGAATCACCACACACTTCACTCATTTGGGCAGTCACGGGGCCAAAACCAGAGTGTGGAGCCACAGTGTGGCGGTGGAGGCAGCAGCAATGGGAGGCCATACAGCACCCTATG